GCCAGTTGCTTTATGAATGCTAACAAATTCCTCACACCCAAATCCTTATGGGCACTCACCATATATACTCCATTCAATTTTGGTGCTCCTCCAGCCTTAGCACGGTGACGGACCCATCTGTCTAACCTAGTAGGTGAAATTTGTGAGGGAAGGAGATCAACCTTTGTAGCGACCAGAACAAGTTTTGGTACCTTTTTGCTAAGCTTGGGGTCATTTTGAGCTCCTTCCAACAACGTGAACAGTGAATTTGCAGCCCGTTTTGGGAAGGACCCATCAAAATCAACACAATCAACAACCATAACAACTACCGTAGCACCATCATTCCCAGTAGGCTTTACGAACCTGGTTGCAACCAGTCTCTCAAAATCAAAATCAGGTATCAAGTTTTCAGAAGATTGATTCTTCACCTGCCCATAATTTCTCAATGAATGACAACGCGCACACACAGTTACCTCATCCTTGTCCTTCTTTGCTTCCCTAGCCAATCTCTTCCTTTCAGCTTTTGACAATCTTTTCCTTTTACTCTTCTCTATAGTCTCCTCAGTAATATTACCATAACCAACACCTGCTGGAGCAAAACCATCAAACTCAGATTCATCTTCCTCTTTCAAAAACTTAGCTTCCCATTCATCAGAATCCCAATCAAACTCATCCCCTTCCTCCATATCATCTCCTTCTGAATCACTCCCCTCCAATTTACCCTCAATTCCATCCCAAAATTCCTCCCCTTCTTCATCACTAAACCCTTCAATTTCACCTTCAAAGCCCTCTTCTCCACCATCCTCATCTTTTAACACTTCCTTTGTAATGACCCTTCTTTTCTTATAATACCCAGGAAAATTCGGGTCTTTATCTTGCATAAAAACACCACATCCTGGACAAACAGGACCATAGTTCTCATCCTCATCCCTCCCCTCACTTAAAACTGGACCCTTTCCTTTCCTTGGCGTGATTTTTCCATGAATTCTCTCTGTCGTTTGACTACCTGACGGGTTCTTTATCGCTAAACCAATTATCGAAAACTTTTCCCTTTTATTGTTCTTCACATTCAATCCTGTTAAAATAGTCCTTCTGTAAATCCCATTTCAGATTATGCATGGAAAAGCAAAAAAGAATAGGGAAAGCGGAAGAACCTGTGAAAAGACGGAACATTGTTGCTGGGTTTTCATTTACGCTTCCACTACTATGACAGAATAGCTTAGGCCTCAGATTGTTCATCGTTGTTGATAAAAGAAGCGCCATTTTCTTCGACCTGGACTCGAACAATCTTAGCGACAAAAGAGACAGAGGAGAAAGCAGAACGATTTTGAAAAGGACTAAAATGCAAAGAATCATAGTTAACAGGATATTTCTCAATTAATTTGTACATTTTTTTTTTCTCTTTTTTGTTTATTTAGTGAGTACGTAAAACAGACCCAAGAAAGGGCTAGCCCAAGTCCCAAGTACATGGCCAAATCAAAATCAAGTGGTCCAGTATCGCTTTGTGAAATTGTAAAAGCTGAAATGCATTAGACTTCTTCGGTCTGACACTGATCCAGTTAACCGAAAGTAATAGTGCTAAAAGGCCCAACCCCCAAATTAAATCTGTTCCCAAGTATGGGGCAAGGATAGATACACCTTTAAATTAAATTTAGGGATAAATTACTCAATTAATTAATTGGATTAGAAACATGACCCAAAAATTTATCCATTGGCATCATGTGACGTCAACTTTTCGTTGATTTCTTGCTTATTTGACTTTTTTTTTTTTATTTATATCATGTAATGTTAATAGTTAAATTTTAGGTTATTTGTCTAATCTAATTAATTGGTAGAGCAATTTGTCTTTGTATTTAATCTGAGGGTAAATTTGTCTCTACTCCCATACTTGAGAAGAAAATTTGGGAGTTTCGCCAATCCTAAAGTAATGAAGAGCAAAAGGTCAATAAATATGAAAATTGTTAATTGTATTTTCCATTCATGCTTAACCCCCTAAAACCTCTCTAATTGTTTGTCTTTAAGACTATTAGCCCCTAAATGTACCCTTTGTATATTTTAACCCAAAAACTCCATATTATTGTTGTAATTGGCTTAAAACAGACGAAATCTCATCACGTTAGTTAGCCATCTCTACTTCATTATCCTATCCTCATTTGCACTATCCTAACATAACATAAATATGATTCATTTAGACCCATGGAGGTAGAAAAATCCCACCTAAAGTACATGGGTTTTATCCTAGACAGGATTTTTCTCACTGCTATGGTTCAAGTGAACTATATTTATGCCAACATGAAACTAATGAGCATAAGGTAATGAAGTAGAAAAGGTCACGTGACTCACATAATGAAATTCTATCTATTTTAAGTCAATTATAGCAATAATGTGAAGTTTATGGATTAAATCACACAAAATATATGTTGAGAGGTTAATGGTCTCAAAAACAAACAATTAAAGGGG